GTGGACATATCTTTTGGGGTCACCACTAGACCCCCGATACTTGAACTTGGGGACAGGCTGAGCAATGCCTAGGAAACTGCATGGTAGAGGCTGGGGGGTTCCGGGGACTGCTGGCTACCCCTCCATTGGCAGAAACCCATCCTCAAGCCTGGTTGGTGAGGGCGCGGACTTTAGATCTGGAATAGTGATTAAGGATGACTGGAAACAAGCTTCATTCACCTTTTATTATTTTATTACTTTGGAGACAGGGTCTCGCTCTGTCACCCAGGCTGGAGTGTAGTGGCATGGTCATGGTTCATTGCAGTCCTGAACTCAAGCCTCCTACCTCAGCCCCCTGAGTAGCTGATATTACAGGTGTGCGCCACCACGCTGGCTAATTTTTTGATTTATTGTAGAGTCAAGGTCTTGCCATGTTGCCCAGGCTGGTCTCAAACTCCTGGGCTCAGGCAGTCCTCTCGCCTTGGCCTCCCAAAGTGTGGGATTACAGGTGTGATCCACCGCACCCAGCCTTCATTCAACTTGAACACAAAATCTTAGAATGTTCCTTAGAGTCTTTTCCAGAGAAAAGATAGGCCCTTATTTTTAAGGCCTTCCCCAAGTTCTTTGGATGCTAGCTCTGTCCTCATGCCAGGGCTACCTGTCCCCACAGCCTGCCCTCCCACTCCTTCAGCTCCCTGCTGCCTTGGGGGCCGCTGGGCTCTCCCCTTCCCCCAGTTCCACCTGCCCCTTGGCCTGTCAGGACAGTTCTGTGCCCACTGCTCCTCCCTGGGAACAATGTCATTGAGGCTGGGCATTTGGGCCTTGTGGCTGGCCCACTAGGGGTTTAAGCCAAGGCCAGGTGCTGCTGGGCTCTCATGCCCCACCCACTTTCCTTCAGTCAGCGGTGGGGGCCCACAGAGTGTGTCAGTGTGGAGGTGTGGGGGGGCCCTTCCTTCTCCACTAACTCAGCTGTTCCCACCCTCGGGTTGCAGGCCCCAAGGCCCCCGAACCCTGTCCTGCCTCTTCAGCATGTGCGGAAGCTCAAGTCCACGGGAGAAGCCCGGCAGGTTGCACAGATGACCAGCGACCATGCTGGCCATGAAGGTCATGCTCAGCCAGGCATGGTGGCTCAGCCTGTAATCCCAGCACTTTGGGAGGCCGTGGCGAAAGGACTGACTGAGCCCCGGGATTTGAGACTAGCCTGGGCAACTTGGTGAGACATCTCTACAACAAATCACAAAAACTAGCCAGGTGTGGTGGCACATGCCTGTAGTTCCAGCTACTTGGAAGGCTGAGGTGGAAGGATCGCCTGAGCCCAGTAGGTTGAGGCTGTGGTGGCTGTGAGCATGCCACTGCACTTCAGCCTGGGCGACAAGAGTGAGACTCCAACTCAAAAAACAAAAAATAAAAAGACACACTTGCTGCTCTGGTGCTGGTGGGGGGAGGACAGGAAAGGAACAGTTATGGAGGGATCAGTATGGCCAGTGAGGGCTCCTTCCCAGGGGGTATCTTAGACCTGGGCTTCCTGGATGTGGGCTCACCAGTCACCCCACTTAGGTCATGGGCCTTGGTAATTCCCCCAGGCCCAGCCTGCCCTGTGCAAGAGGCGGCCGGGGCAGGGAGGCCTTTGTCCTTCAGCCATGCCAGGTCAAGGAGCCACGTGAGAGGCAGGACCAAAGGATGGCCTGACCACTCTCAGAAGCTTCCCAGAGAGTCCCTAAGCAAGCATGGTTTCCAGGCAACTACCCAGGCACATGGGGTGGGTCCAAGAGGGAGAGAGCAAGCTGGCCCCCACCCCTGCCCTCTGCCCCAGCAGGGCCCCAGTCACAGCCCTCACGGTCTTTGGGACACTGTCACTGAGGTCCCCATTGCCCTGGTTGGTGAGCACAGACACTCCTCCCAGCACACAGATTCCCCAGCACGAGATGCCCCAGCACCGAGTTTCCGGCACAGAGACTCCCCCAGCACAGACCCTTCCCCCAGCACAGAACCTCCTCCCAACACAGGCATTTCCCCCAGCACAGACACTCTCCCCAGCACACAGATGCCCCCAGCACCAAGATTCCCCATCACAGACACTCCCCCCAGCACAAAGACTCCTCCTAACACAGACACTCCCCCCAGCACAGAGATTCCCCCAGCACAGAGACTCCCCCAGCACAGAGCCTTCCCCCAACACAGAACCTCCTCCCAGCATAGACACTGCCCCCCAGCACAGACACTCCTCCCAACATAGAGACTCCCCCAGCACAGAGATGACCCCAGCACCAAGATTCCCCAGCATAGATACTCCCTCCAGCACAGAGACTCCCCCTAACACAGGCATTACCCCCAGAACAGACGCTCCCCACAACACAGACTCCCCCAGCACTGAGACTCCCTTAGAGCAGACCATCTCCCGGTGCCCTGGACCCAGCAGCAGCCCGCGCGCAGTCGGGCGCCCGAGGCTCACCTGGGGGCCTGGCCCCGGGAGCTCCCGGCACCGGCCCCCAGGCCGCCAGGGGGAGGGGAGGCTTCCGGCCCCTATCCTGTCTGCGGGCTCAGGCAATCCACTTGTCTTGGCCTCCCAAAATGTTGGGATTATAGGCGGAGCCACTGAGCCCAGCCTTAACTTGGTGTTTTATTGGTCCAGAGGCATAGTTCTTTTCATTACTCCCTCCGACTTCTGAAAGATTACATTGTCATGGAGTTAGTAATTCATCTGTCCTTCTGCTTTGATGAGAGGACAACTTTTGAAAATAACTTGACTGTCTCTAAAGACTGCTATGT